CAATCAAGTACAGCATGATAGATATGTCATTGATCATTACTGAGTTGTGCAAGAGCATCATGAACAATTAATTCTTGTTTCTGTGGCTGATAACTGATTTCCCGCAACCATATTTTATTGACAGGGTGTATAGAAGTTTAATCAGGTGAGTCGATACCCAAGTGATATCTTCGGTATCAATCAGAGCCTTACTGAACATGACATACGAATACTGTATATCGACTCCAGAATATTTATTGTGTTCTTGTAGAAAATCAACGGTTTATATTTCTGAGATGAGGTATTATGTACACTATTTATATTATTCGGACTACTGTTTCATCATTGTTCCCATATTTATCTCAACGTTTCGGCCTTTCAGTATCTGTCTATATTTCTGAGATGAGGTATTATGTACACTATTTATATTATTCGGACTATTGTCCTCATCATTGTTGCCATATTTATCTCAACGTTTCGGCCTTTCAGTATCTGTCTATATTTCTGGGATGAGGTATTATGTATACTATTTACATTATGTAGACTATTGTCCTCATATTTGTCGACATATTTATTACAATGTTTCGGCCACTGTACGATCTGTCCTTCTTCAGGTGGTTGGAATGTCGAACTGAACCCTTTATTTCACTCAATATTTTACGAAACAAAGTGTCCAACTCGACATTCCAACCACCCTAAGAAGACCGCAGCGTACAGCGGCCGAAACGTTGTAATAAGTATGGCGACAAAGGTGAGAACAATAGTCGGAATAATGTAAATATTGAAGAAAATCATCGCTTAAGGAGTCTTTGTGTAGAATCAAAGTCATTTTGGATCTGACACTGCACATTATTCGACATGATGGCAAACATATCACAATTTACTTGGCGATTCAAATTTAGATGCTTCCTGTAATGTTAGACAATTCGAGCATCCCTGAAAGTGTTTAAACTTGACAATTTATATTTTTCAGGTCATCAAATCTCTGTGATTCTCTAACACAATATTATAGAGGTTTCAAAAAGAAGCATTCAAATTGATTTGGATGCCCTGTGTACAGCCTGCCTAAATTTCAGCTTTTCTTATGACCTCATAGCCTAGAAATTGCTTCCCCTGTTCTCGTCTTTTGAAGACGTGGTTTTATTGTCCCATGTGTAATATTCTGGAACGTTAACATACGAAATGTTTCAGGCTATATCATCAGTTCAACAGAATATGAAGAAATCCATCGGAGTTTTTGATCGTGGATTTGCAATTCTATGTTCGGCATTACTTTGATTAAAGTATATCCTCTGTCCATTTTCTAGATTGACTAAGCTGAATAACTGGGGGATGTTCATGTATGTGGTATTTTATTCATTTTATTTATGAACTCATTTATGTGTCCATCTTTCAATAATTAATGCAGTGTCCGCTGGTCAGACAGAATAAATCGGCTTTTCACTTTATATTATAGATTATATATATATATATATATATATATATATATATATATATATATATATATATATATATATATATATATGCAAGAATAGGATTGGTGTATACGAGATAAATTACAATAACCAACAAATGATATTATTAAAAGAGTGCTCAATACAGTGTAGTGCAAATATAATTATTCATTCGAAAATTATAACATAAATATGTTATAAAATCACTACAAAAATAGCCATTTTATTTCAACAATTCTAGTGTCTTATCAAGTGATGATGTTGAATGTAGAATAAAGGTTTTTAAAAAGTTCAAACCAATCAAACATCCCTCGCTAAGAGGAAACGCTGTTACATGAGCTGGAATGACCAATCAAAATACAAGTATATGAAAATTCAAAAAACTTGACAACGAACTTTGGTTATAATAATTATTTAATGCTTTAATGCCGGGGTTAGTCTAAATTAGAATTTATTCTAACTAATAAAATTTAAATTATACGATAAAATTTAAATTATACGATAAAATTTGAAATTAAAAATTAAAAATTAAATTTCGAATAAAAATATATATATATATATATATATATATATATATATATATATATATATATATAAATATATATATATGCAAGTATAGGATGCAAGTATAGGATATATATATATATATATATATATATATATATATATATGCAAGTATAGGATGCATATATATATATATATATATATATATATATATATATATATATATATATATATATATATATATATATATATATATATATATATATATATATATATATATATATACAAGTATAGGATTGGTGTACGGAAATAAATTACAATAACCAACAAATAATATTATTGAATGTGTGCTCAATACGATCACAAAAAGTTCAGTTAGATTGGGGCAAAAACAGCATCACGTTTAGATGTAACAGAGTCTATCTTCATTTACCCTAAAGTAATTTCATTACAAAACATTTTGCATTAATGCAGTTACTGATATAACAGAAGTAGTCTGGATTAATTCAATGGATGTTAACGGAGGACATGAAGGGGTAAAGCAAGCAACATGAAATCGCACGTCAGACCACAATTATTTTGGTGTTTTTGAAATTCTATTTGTCAGTGTGCTACCAGGGATGTAAAAGAGGATACATTTATAAAGCAATTATTAAGTTTGATGAAAATTGGTTGAAAGATCAGCGAAAAATAAGAAGGAAACCATTAAAAATCGCCATTTTCGCTGTTTACGTGGGTTTTCACTATATGGGTTGACTCAATTAAATAATGTTAAACAATCAATTTATTGTCGGCTACAATTGAGTGAATTTCTATTACATTGCTTAAAAATTGAGGGAGTTTTACATTCGTGTTTTTTTTTTTTTTTGCTAAACGCAGTGCTATAGAAATAAAAAGGAGTCGTCATGATGTAAGTAACCTATATACCGAGTTTGAACGTAATCGGAGGAAAAATGTTAAATTTATTGCTTTTGATCGAATTTAACGATTTTTTTTAATTTTTGATCGATTTTATATTGATTTTTTTAATTATCGATTTTTTACGCTAAGAACCTATCTCTTAAATTGTACAATGTATGTGCCAAGTTTGTTCAAAATCGGTTGGATGGATCACGATTGAAAAGTTATCGGACAAAAACACACAGACATCCTTTATTTTATATATAATATAAGTGTCAAATCATTCACAAATACAGTCGTTAGAATTAATCATTCAAATTTTTTCGGGGAAACGTCCATATTACTTTTAGACGTGAATCGAAAAAATTGCTTTCAAATTGGGCTGCAGCAATTGAAAATGAAGTTGATTAATTCAAGATTAAAAATGAGTGTAAGACCTTTTCACCAAACCTTTTAAACCAAAACAGCGAGGTTATCCTGAAAGAATTAGAAGTCCTACCAGGATTCTTTAATAGCGGCCACAATTGTAACAACGACAGATTACAATATTGATAAGGGAAACAAAATACGTGTAGAGAATGTGCGAAGCAAAGTGAGAAGGAGAGTAAATATCAATTGAAGACAGAACGCATGGTTGTTAGCAAAAGATACAAGCCAACATGAAAATTAAATATTGCCGATACAGAAAATAAACAAGAGCAACAATTTAGATACCTGCGAACTTTATTAACAGAGGACGGAAAAATACACGCGGAAATCCTATGGTAATACGGGATAGCGAAATATGACTTCCGAACTCTTATATCGTATCAGTCCATGTATACGTCAGTGAATGATGGACAATCTCCTCATAAATAAAGAAAAGACTTGAAGCAACAGAAATGTGATTCTACAGAAGGCTGTTTATATGCAACATATGAGCTACAACGAAATTTTTAAACTGGCAGCCAAAAGAACTATTCTACTTAACATCAGGCGGGGACAGTTGTAATTTCAGGGTCACATAATGAGGAAGGAGGGTTTGGAAATTTTGGTACTCACAGAACAGTTTCAACGAAAGATAGACAAAAGGAAGCGATGTATAAGCCAATGTTTAGTTTGAATGAATGGATGGCGGAGTATTGTTAGGGATAGAAGGAAAAAAGTCAAAAGTTATAAAGAACGACAAAGGGCAGGAAAGACATCGTGGAGATCCATGATTCTAAATGACTCGATACATAGAAAAAGAATTATAATATTTAAATAAATTTAGCTTCATCTTTAAATAAAATTTAAAGAAATAAACTTTAATTGCATTTATCTTTTCATACTATCTGTAAAACAGTGTTTTTGGAAGAAGCATTGAATCAGCGTTTCATTGCAGATCTCTTTTTTGGATCAAAAATTTAAGAAATTTTCTTCCACTACCTCAGCATGGATCTAACATTAAAAACACGCATTTTTTTATATTCACTCGTGAGTTATTTAGACTCTGAATGAACAATATTCATTACGTTTTCTATCGCTCCAAATATTCATAATTGGAAAACTTCAAATTTTCTGTCATTTCTTGTAAAGAAAAGGGTTTTTTGTTACCAGTTTTATGCTGATCAAATGGAAATGCTGCAATCCGCCACACACTCTTCTTACATTTTAAGTCTCATGGAGGAAATTATAGAAAATTGCTCCCATTTTTTTTTTTTTAATATGGAGTAAAACTTTCTGGTCATGATTAGTTTTTCACGTAGTGCCAAAACCATTTTCGGCATCTTTGAACTAATCCCAAAACATTGCTTATTATTCCCGTTTTAATCTTGAATTTGCATCAATTGAAAACGCCTTCTTTTTCTTAATAAAAAATACTTCCACGGAAAATATGATTAATCTAAACTAATATATATATATATATATATATATATATATATATATATATATATATATATATATATATATTGGCTACAAAATTCATGGCTACATTCTTCATTATTGTTGGCTTCAACAATGACTATAACTATATGCCAAAAAACCTTTTTGCAGCGTTAAGAAATTGTTACCTTCTTCAGAAGATTATCGAAACATTTCAATGATTATGGATACAATTTTATAATATATGTAACGCTAAGAATTAGAAACATTTTAATTCGCTCAGTGGGGTAAAACCTATCATCTAGTATTTGTCTACAGACGGCTATATAACGTTGAAAAACCGGTTCCCAAACGACCACCGAAGTTAAGCAAAGTCTGGCCTGGTTAGTACCTAGGTGGGTGACCGGTTGGGAATACCATGTGCTGTAAGCTTGGATGCGCGGTGGTATAATGGATTAAAATTGTTAATGGAAGTAACGAGTTCAGATTCCGTTGGTTTCGTTATTTGTACCTACGCGCAAATACACATTGGGGAAAGGTATGAATCCAACTTTTCTCCCTCCGCTCTGGGTTAAATATTAAGACTTTTATCAGAAAAAAATATTTTGGGTGGCTTGGATTTAAAGAATTTCTGCGATTAAAAACATCGAACTCGTAATCTTTTTTAACCGGCGTATATTCTCGCATATTTTCTTTCATTGTTTGTTTCATCATCTAAAGTAATATTATATTTTGAGGATATGAAAGTTTTGGGGGCGAGTCCTCAGTCCAAAACACCAAAACAATGGCAAAAGTTCATATTAACAGATGTCCGAAAATATTTAGTTTTTTTGGGGTATTATGTTTAAAGAATGTAGATTTTGTGATGTCAACTAACACTCGTTGCCACTTTCATGAGATCAACGAATAATCTTTGTCACTTTCTTAATGCTCGTTATAGTAGAGACTTTGTAATCGCAGATACAACTGTAGTAAAGCCGTTGAATGATACACCTTCGAATAATCACGCAATGATATTATTTGTTCGATAATGCTCGCTCTAGAAGTAATCTGTGTAGTGATCCGAATAGAGAAATATTATTGTAAATAGAGTCGAGAATAGCGGTCCGTATATTAGAGGATAGAATAGAAATGGCGATCATTTAGATGACACACCACTTTCCACATACCCGTTTCCTTTATGGTCACGGGGTTCACTTAATTCAATAATGGGATCACATCTGTTTGTTCAGTGGCGATCTATGTTCAAACTCAAGAGTCGGCAGCGACAATTTATAGATAGGATCCGTGGCGCCTGACCACGGAGAACACATTCTAAAGGCTGTCGTTGACGATCCACATATCAGCACACGTCAGATGGCATGTCATACATCAAAATTGCCTTATTGATGTTATCTTAAGACCACCTATGGTATCCATATAATTTGCAACGTGTGCAGGGTCTTTTCTCCCCGGGAGAACATTTACCGATGGTTTATTTCATAAACAGTCGATCAGTTGTTTGTCTCATAAGTTTTGTTTATGGAATAGGCAACACTTGGAAGAATGCAATGACAAATTTACGCAACTAACATTTGTAGGTGGGTGGGAATCCCCATGATACAATGCAAGGTAGGCACAAGCATCAGTTTTAATGTGTGGGCTTGAATTATTCGTGACCGTCTGGTAGGTCCATATGTTCTCCCAGCATGTTTTGCCAGAGCTGTCAAGAGGGATTTTTTTTTCAACATACTTCCAGACCTAGAATATGTATCCCTGCTAATAAACAGACGCATGTGTTTCAAGAATGAAGAGACTCCAGCACTTTTTAGTCACATAGTGCGCGAAGCACTAACTGATATCTACTATGAAAGATGGATGTGTAGTGGAGAACGGGCTCATGACCTTCACGTTCCCCCAACATCAACCCTTTGGATTTTTTATCTGTGGGGCTGTTGACCATGTTTGCCGTAGTCTTTGAATATAGAATCCAGTGCAGTACGTAATGTGTTCAATGGAACAACGCCAATATTACTAGTAGCAGTTGTTCTGTAATTCTTCAGGTCTTCGATATCAGAGGTTGGCAGTGAAGATATTTTTGGAGAAAAAACAAAATGGCTGTCATTATACATGTCGGATTGAATATTTTGAGCTTTCTGATTGGTTAACCCTTCTATCAGTGAACTATAAAATGAGTCAGCTCTTTTTGGCTAGCTCACTAATATTAAAGGTTTACCTAATAATTCCAACAGAGGCCACCTAAAACAATTGGTTTATGCAGCAGATATTAATAAGGCACAGCACTTCATCAATGTGTCAAGGGACCCTGCGAACCCATGCGGCATTGTGTTGGAATATTTGAAAGGTACAGCAATGGTCTTCTGAACATATGTTTATATGGACATTTTGTCTTATTTTGTTGTCAGGAAACCACCCCAAAGTTCTGTAAAAGTATTTTTTAATATACCATGTATATAAAAAAATAATAATGTTTAAGGTATGTTATACTTATGGGTAAAAGTTCTAAATATAAGTCATAGTGCGTATGTAAAAATGAAAGTGTATAAAGAGTGGTGACTAGGTGTGTTGTGCTCTGGGTCGACTATCTATATATGCTGGTCAATGTTGCATTATGGGTAGCAAAGTATATTGTATAATCCTAACGGTTATTGGATAGGCGGTAACGGATATTTTTCAAATTTTTTTACAGGTTATTGAATAGAAATAATTGTGAGTCCGAATGTGGCACTTAGTAACTCTCATATAGTATTTAAATTTTTCAGCTTTTATTATGTATTATTAATAACTTTAATTATTATTGTTTTATTTACTTGTTTTCAGTATTATTTTTTTTATTTTGCTTTGTGTATTCGATTATTTATTTTGATTTTTTCTTCTTGTGTTATTTCTTTTTTGTGTTGGTTATCTGATTTGTTTAGTTTAAAATATTTTTCGTATAACGTATGTTTAAATGGAATTTTGTCTTATAATATATATATATATATTATCATTTTTATGAAAATATTTTACAAGGTATTTTTTAGTTCCGATTTTATAAAAAAAAAATATATATACATATATATATATTTATATATACACACACACATATATATATATATATATATATATATATACACACACACACATATATATATATATATATATATATATATATATATATATATATATATATACACACACATATATATATATACATACATATATATATATATATACACACACACACACATATATATATATATATATATATATATATATATATAAAGTGGCGGCCTGACGATAGGATTTCCTAGCATGAAACAGCCTGTTGCCTCTGAGTGACTACAATACTTTTTACTACTATATATATATATATATATATATATATATATATATATATATATATATATATATACGTTAAAATCAGGAGTTCAGTTGAAACGGTTTACTTTTAACGCAGCGGATTCACCTGATCTTCTGATTTTTAAATTAAAAAAAACCTCCATGTTATTTTTACTTTTTATTTTATTTTTTTTGACACAGGTATTGAGCACTTTTTAATACTACTGTTTCATGGTCTGTTTCATCTCTGACCATTAAGCTTTTATGTATTACATATATAATGAATATTATTTGTATTTCCGTTGATTTCTGTTGTTTAATCAGATCTTTCCCTGTCCTAACCAGTGACCTAAGATCAGAAATAGTATCATGACATTTCCCACTGAGCAGTTAAAAAAAAATCATAGTTTACATAGATAATGCCCTTCGTAAGGTGGGAGTTGTAATTGTGGAAACAATTTTCCTTGTATTATTATTATTATTATTATTATTATTATAGCAGCATAGTCAATATAAACTAAAAAATTAAAATCCATATTTTATTATTTGAATGTAAACAGGTATTTTCTTTTTTAATATATAAATATTAAAAACTTAAATCAATGTAGACACTTCGTTCTAGCTTAAAATATTGAGAAACCAATGTAATTCTTCTCTCGAAAGTAAAACGTAATTGAATAAGTACAAAACAATTCCCTATCTGCAATGTTCAGCCATCTTGAAATATCCACTCAAAATGACTGTTCCTCTGAATTAGCATGATTTATTGTTTTCTTTCTTTCTTTTTTTTTTTTGGAACCAAGAGAATGTAAACCGGAACCGGTTGATTGCCACGTTCGCTGGCCTAAGGTGACACGCTTGTTGGAGAATGTTACTAGATTATCAGATGTTTGATAATTGTCTAGAGTCTGGCGTGGAAAAGACAGTAAAAATGGAGGAGCGATGTATGGAGAAAAAAAAAACAGAAAAGAAGGAGAGAGATAAAAAAAAAAAAATAACATATAATCTATATGAGAAAACAGGAGAATAGAAGAGAACAAGAAAAAATATGGATATAGAAGAAAATGATAGAAAAAGAAAAAGAAGAGAAATAAACTTTAAAGTTGAATGAAAAAGAGAGAGAGAGAGAATAGAAAATATGGTAGAGAAAGAAAATAACAGAGAAATAGAAAACTAAGGGAAACATAATGGAGAAAGACATAGGAAGAACTCAATATAAGGAATGATTTTAAAAAAGGGGGGATACAAAGAAAGGGGCGAAAATGAAAAGTAAGCGGATGAGTAAGGAACGAATGAAAAAGAATTATAATTTAAACAAGAAATAACAGACGATAAAAATAGCATAAAAAAATGAAAAGAAAAGTAAGTAACTAGGTGCTGGACTAAAACAGCAGCATGAAAGAAAGAAAAACGGAAAAAAAGACGAAAGATGGGAAAATTAGAAAAATAAAGAAACAACATGTAGAAAGAAAAGAATGTTGAGCAAAGAGAAGCAGAGATAAAGAGAGAAAAATAAAAGAAAAAATTAGAAATAAAAAGGAAATGAAAGCGGAAACTAAAGAAATAATAAACATTGCGCGTATGAATGAAAAACGTAAGGTATGAAATAAAGCAAAGGAAAATAGACTGACGAATGAAGACATAAAAGATAAAAATATATCTAGAGAGAAAGACGAAGGAAGTATTTAAAAATACAAAGAAAGAGATAAAATTAAAATAAAACAATAATGACGAGAGAAAGAATGATCTACGAAGTTGATTGATTTGACTGTTTAAAGTCACATCAACTGCTTATGGGTCATTTAATACCGAAATTTCTTTTTTCTTGGGAACTTGGAAGTAATCAAATATGATAGATGTTATTCTGCTTTCACAGTTGAATACATGGTAGATAATACTCAGCTTTTGTGCATATAAATATGAGTGTGGACATGGTTACTAGAGCTTGATTTATGTGTTTTATGTTGTGGTTTTGTTGAAATTATACTTTGGAATAGAGTTTGATTTAAGAAATTCTGTGACATTATTGTCATTAATTTTTTTTTATATTGGTTGTTTGGTAGTATTTTAGACGGGTTTGAATAAAGTTACTACATTTATTAGTATCTG